AAGGGGATCCTAGCAGGAAAGATGGTGGGGCAGCAATGTCAGGAGTTTCTATGAGTAATTAGGGAGGCACAGCAGAAATTCACCCCAAAGAAGAAACATACTAAGGTGAGAACGAGGCACCTTGGCTGTCAAGAGAAGTTAGGGACAGCATAAAAGCAAAAGAAAGAGCATACAATGCAGAGACGATTAGTGAGAAGCCTATAAAAACCAGCAGAGAGCAACTTAGAAAAGCAGTAAAGAGGGAGAAGATGAAATATGAGGGTAAGCTAGCTATTAGTATAAAAGAATATTGCAAGAGGCTTTTTTAAATATATGGAAGGAAAGAGAGAGACAAGAGTAGACTTTGGATCGCTGGAAAATGAGACTAAAGAAGTAGTAATGCGCAGTAAAGGAATGCCTGAAGAACTGAATAGGTACTTTGCATTAATCTTCACCGTGGAAGACACCAGTACCATATCTGAACTTCTAGAAAGTCAGGGGACAAAGGTGAGTGTAGTGGCCATCACTAAGGAGAACGTTCTGGGAAAGTTGAAAGATCTGAAGATGGATAAAGGGTCATCCACATTGGATGGACTGCACCCCAGCGTTCTGAACGAGATTGTTGGAGGCATTGATGATCTTTCAGGAATCACTGGAGTCAGGGAGGATCACAGAGGACTGGACAGGCTAGAGTAACAAAGAAGGGAGAGAGGCAGAAGATGGGAAATTACAGGGCTGGTTAATCTTGACCTTGGTTATTGGTAAGATTTTAGAGTCCATTATTAAGGATGTGATTGCAGAGTACTTTGAAGTAAATAGGCTAGAGTCAGCACGGCTCTGTCAAGCTGAGGTAAAGGCTGTCAAATCTGTTAGAATTCTTTGAGGAGATGACGCAAGTTAGACAAAGGAGAGCCATTGGACATGACATATTTGGATTTCTAGAAGGTCTCTGACAAGGTGCCACACAGAAGGCTGCTAGATTAGATAAGAGCTGATGGTATTGGGGGAAGGCTGACTGGCATTGATAGTGATTTAGCTGACTGGCAGAAGGCAGAGAGTGGAGATAAAGAAATCTTTCTCAGGATAACAGTTGGTGACTAGTAGAGTTTCACAAGGTTAGTGTCGGGACCACAGCTTATTCACATTACACATTAACTATCTGGATGAAGAAATCAAGGGCCTTGTTGATATGTTTGCAGATGACACAGATAGATGGAGGGACTGGTAGTGTTGAGGAAGTGGGGAGGCTGCGGAAGGATTTGAATAGGTAGTAGACTGGGCAAAGAAGTGACAGATGGAATACAATGTGGGAAAGTGAGAGATTATGCACTTTGGGAAGAAGAGAGGAGAGAGTATTTTCTAAAGGGGGAAAGGATTCCGAAGTCTGAAGCACAAAGGGACTTAAGAGTCCTAATTCAGGATTTTAAAGTTCACATTTCGGGTTCAGTTGGCAGTTAGGAAAACAAATGCAATGCTAGCATTCATTTTTAGGTTGCTAGAATTCAAGAGCAGAGATGCGCTGCTGAGGCTGTATAAGGCTCTGGTTAAACAGCATTTGGAATATTGTGAGCAGTTTTGGGCCCTGTATCTAAGGAAGGATATGCTGGCCTTTGAGGGGGACCAGGGGAGGTTCACAAGCATGATCCTGTGAATGAAAGGCTTATCATATGAGGAGCAGTTGAGGCCTCTGGGCCTGTTCTCAATGAAGCTCAGAAGGATGAAATCTCATTGAAACTTTCAGAATACTGAGAGGCCTGGATAGAGTGGATATGGAGAAGATCTCTCCACTAGCAGGAGAGACTAGGAGCCGAGGGCACAGCCTCAGAGCTAAAGGACAACCCTTTAGAGCTCTGAGGAGGAATTTCTTCAACCAGAGGGTGGTGAATCTGTGGAACTCATTACCTCAGAAGGCTGTGAAGGCCAAGTCACTAAGTGTCGTTAAGACAGATAGTTTGTTGATTAGTAACAGGATCAAAGGTTATGGTGAGAAGTCAGGAAAATGTGGTTGAGAAATGTATCAGCCATGATCGAAAGCAGACTCTGGCTGATTGGTCTAATTCTGCTCCTGTATTTTATGCTCTTATTCATGATTAGTCCCTTTAAAAGTGGATTACAGAATTTCCTTCCATATTACTGCAGTACATTCTCCATTACAGCCATACAGTTATAGATTTGTGTGGCTTCTAAAGCAAGCAATGCCCATCATTACATACTACAAGTAAACATCACAGCATATTCCTTATCTGATTAACACATGGATGTTTTCAAGTTTGTAAGAATGACAAAGTAAAAATATACTTCTGGGTTGAGAAAATAATTAAAGTAATTTTGCATTTATGACTGCAATAGGACAGAACAAATAAAGTGTAAATTCCATGGAGATGGATATTTCTTTTTGGGATCAAACTGCAGACATTGCAGTTCACAATAACGACCAGATACTTGGCTTGTCCTGACAAATATGTTGACTGAATCTGGCAAAAATCTTTGAGCTGAGAAAAGATCCTTTGGTGACAATTGTTCGCATGTTGAGCTAAATTTATTTTAGCCTCTGTTTAGCTATTAAATCTTCCAAGTTTCAAACCAAAGGAGCCACTAGTAAAATGAACAGTAGATCTCAAAACAAACTCCTTTATGTATGATTATTGCATGTCAGTTCTTGGAATATATTGCAGGAATCTGGAATGTTTTTGATCAATTTTCATAAAGACAATCAGCACTTTGAATAATTTCAAAAATGCCCCTTACTCCGTTATAGAAACGGCAGGAGGGAAGACCTTGGGTCAGAAAGCGATGTGAATGAAAAAATATTCCACCTTTTAATGTTGTTTAGACCTTCAAAAACAATCTCATGTTTATTAATCTTTTCAATATAAGTAGCTTGAAAATAAACACTTTTTATAAAGCATATGATCTTTTTGCTTTCAGTGAGTACGACATATATGGCTTCAAGACGGTCCCTGAAGATGATGAAGAGGAGAAGTTGGTTGCCAAAGTTCGGGCTTTAGATTTAAAGTCTCTATCACTCACCGATAGTTATGAGATCTCTGTGGGAGTCAAGTGGGCAAATTACTTTGCTAGCACTGTGAACCGAGAAATGGTGCGCACACCAGAACTGAAGAACTTAATTCGCTGGGGTGTTCCACATGAACATAGGTCAAAGGTCTGGAAATGGTGTGTCAACCTTCATGTCCGAAAATACAGAGATAAGCATAATTCGGGGTATTTTAACTCCTTGCTGGAGAAAGCACTAGAGAAACAGAATCCTGCTTCAAAGCAGATCGAGCTGGACCTTATGCGCACTTTGCCAAACAATAGGCACTATGCCTCACCAACTTCTGAAGGAATACAAAAACTTCGAAATGTTCTGTTGGCGTTTTCCTGGAGGAATCCGGATGTGGGATACTGCCAAGGCTTAAACAGGTGTGAACTTGTTTGTATTTGGATAGAAATCTTGAGTTTACAATAAGCTAGTTCTGTTCAATTACAATTTCTCTTGCGCATCCAGTCGGCTTGTAGAAAGTAACCTGCCAACAAAAAATTGAATTTTAAGCTAGTTTCATTACATAAAAAGTTTCTTCTGTTAAATTTCCATTGTTTAAATTGTAGCATTGTTGCATCAAAATGCAGTTCAAAGCTTAATAGTCTGTTTGAACATGTTGATTTATTATCTTGGTTTGGCAGCTCAATTAAATAGATTAGAATAGAGGAATTTCCAGTGAAAGTTTGCTCTCCACACCAAGTAGTTAAATGTGTTCTTGAAAACCACCATACAATTTAATTACACTTGGAGTCATACAATGTGGAAGGAGGCTGTTTGGCCATCATGTCTACACTGATCGTCAAGCACCTATCTATTCAAGTCCCATTTCCTAGCACTTGGCCTATAGATGTAGCATTTCAAGTGTTTGACTATGACTAAGATGTTGTTAGGGTGCCTGCCTGTATCGCCCTCTTGGGCAGTTATCCAACTATCTAATTTCTTAATTTATCTTTCAAATTCACTCTGCTGCAAACCGCAGGGATCTCTGATGTTTTGCTATTAAGGGGATCTCAAGAAATGAACTGACATCAGTTTGGGGTGCTCCAGATGATTGCGCACTCAATTTCCCTGTATCTGTATTGCAATGATCACAGAACATCATCTGCTTCCTGTGGATGTAATGTTGTTGAAAATCATTTAGGTTTCTCAGAGGCAGAAATTAAAAAAGTTTGGAAAATTTTGATGAGTTGACTGCTTTTTAAACCATTTCAGTAATTTCCATTGTTTTGGTAATTGATTCCAAACTCTTCTGCTGTTCTCACTGCTTGGCTATCCCATATCCAGGAATCAGAGCCAGGAGGAATCTGTCTATAACTAGGTTACGTAAAAGAGGGATTAACGGAATTTGATTGACTCTTAACTGCCCTCTGATATGGCCCAGCAAGCCATTTAGTTGTTTTTTAAAAAAAAAACCCAGGGAAAAATAAAAAGGCCGAAAGCCAGACAGACCACCTGACATTGACTAGCTGTAGAGACCCCTGCGTATCTCAAACATCTGGAGCTGCTGCCAAAATTGCGAGAGCTATCTTACAGACTAGTCAGCAACGGTCTAACATTGTAAGGCGATTCTGAGAGTAGGACAGTGTCCCAGACGTTATCATCACCATACGTGGATGTGTCCTGTACCACTGGGGGGAGATACCCAGTAAAGGCAGTGCCACATTGTTATAAACTTGGAAGGGAGTTGTCCTGAATATTGGTTTCAGATCTGACAAAATCTTACGGATTCAAATCAAATACGTGCGATGGAAAATTCCTACTGATTAATCAACATTGCCCTCCCTTAGCTGAAGGATCAGTGGTCTTCCACTTGGAAGTGTTCTTTAGTGTCCATCACTGAGTGTGCCTTGGAAGCACCACTGCTTACTGAGCTGGTTAAGTCCTAAAGGTTGTAGCTGCTAGATTGGATCTGCAGAAGGTGGTGAGCTCTACTTGTTCCAGGCAGATCTGTCCATGACCGTATCAGTGAGTGACCACTAACATTAATTATGGAAGCACAGTTCATCTTCATTTTGCAGCTCTACTATATGCTAAATAGATTTTGGAGAGATTTCAAGCAGATCTAGCAACTCAACTGGGTATCATTGAGGTCCTGTGAGCCATCATCCAAAAAAATTGTGCGCCAACACAATCTGCAACCGCATGACCTGGCATATCCCCCATTCCTCCATTACTGTGAAACCAGGTGATCAGTCCTGGTAAAATAGTGTGTAGGAGGGCATACCTGAAATGAGTTAACAGCCAGATGAAGCTGTAACACAGGGCTACTTGCATGCCAGGTAGTGGAAGCAGTATTCATTAGATAAAACTAAGCAATCCTCCAACTGACAGTTCAGATCTAAGCTGTGCAGTCTTGCCACATGTAATTGTGAATGGTGGTGAACAATTTAATAACTCACTGGAGGAGAAGGCTCCACAAATATTCCCATTCTCAATGATGTATCCAGCACATCAGTGCTGTGAGACCAGGCTGAAAAATTTTTAAGAATCTACAATCAGAAGTTCCTAATGGATGAGAGAGATAGTAGGAACTGCCGATGCTGCAGAATCTGAGATAACAAGGTGTAAAGCTGGATGAACACAGCAGGCCACGCTTTCCTGCTCCTCTGATGCTGCTTGGCCTGCTGTGTTCATCCAGCTCTACAACTTGTTATTCCTAATGGATGATCCATCCCGCCACGGAAAGATTTGAATATACATGAGAATTTTATAGTCTCCAAACATCTGGCAATACTTGACTGGCTGTTCCTGAGAAGCAACATTAAGGGGAACTCATGTCTGACCAACTTGATTGAATTTCTCAAAGAAGCGACAAAATGTATAGATGAGGGCAGTGCTTTTGATGTAGTCTATTGGACTTCAAGGCCTCGATAAGGCCCCATATGGGAGACTGATAGCAAAGGCAAGAGCCTGTGGGATCCAAGGAATTTTGGCAAATTGGATCCGCAATTGGCTGAGTGGCAGGAAACAGAGGGTGATGGTTGAAGAGTGTTTTTCTGATAGAGGTCTGTGTCCAGTGGGTTCTGTTAGGTGTCAGTGACTTTGCTGTTTGTGATTTAGACTTAAATATGGTAGGGTTGATCAGTAAGTATGCAGATGACACCAAAATTGGTGGGGTGGTAAGTAGTGAGGCGGATAGCCTTAGACTACAAGAGGATATAAACAGGCTGGTCAGATGGGCGGAGCAATGGCAAATTGAATTCAACCTAGATAAATGTGATGTGATGCACTTGGGCAGGAAAAACAAGTCAAGGGAATACATGTTGAGCAGTAGGACACTGGGAAACACAGAATCAGAGCAACCTTGCTATGCATGTGCACCGGTCCCTTAAGGTATCTGGACAGGTGGATAAAGCCGTTGAGAAGGCATATGGAATACTTGCCTTTATTACTTGAGGCATAGAGTTTAAGATCAGGGAAGATATGCTGGAACTGCATAAAATGTTGATGAGACCACAGCTGGAGTATTGTGTACATTCTGGAATACACATTAGAGGCTGGATGTGATGACACTGGAGAGAGTGCAGAAGAGATTTACCAGGATGTTGCCTGGGCTGGGGATTTTCAATTATGAAGAGAGACCGGACAGACTGGGTTTATTTTCCTTAGAGTAGAGGAGATTGAAGGGGGACATGATTGAGATGTATAAAATTGAGAAACATACAGTAGGAGGGAAGAAACCTTTCCCCTTGATGGACAGACTACTGACTGGAGGGACGCAAGATAAGGGTTTAGAGGAGATGAGAGGAAAATGTTTTTTCACCCAGATGGTGGAGGGAATCTAGAACTCGCCGCTTATAAGGGTGATAGAGGCAGAAGCCCTTGTCACATTTAAGAAGTATTTAGATGTCACTTGTGATGCCAAGGCACTTTAGGTGCCAAGTGCTGGAAAATGAGTTGGATTAGTTAGATGTAAAGGTGGGAGACAAGATGGACAGGTTGTGTCAGGTCAAGGAGGTGGGAATGAGAGGGAGGGGTGCTCATGGGATGAGGCCAGGGTGGGGAGATTTTGAAACTGGTAAAATCCACATTTAGGCCATTGGGCTGTAGGCTCCTGAGGGGGAATATGGAGTGCTGCTCCTCCAGTTTGTGGGTAGCATCATTGTGACACTGGAGGAGGCCCGGGGAGTTAAAGTAGTTCGCGATCGGAAGGTGTTGTAGAGCTCAGATGGTCTACAAAACCGAGTCCAAGCCTTCGCTTGGTCTCACCGACGTAGAGGAGGCCACATACGGAACAGCGAATGCAACTTGACCTGGCACAACCTGTCCATCTTTTCTCCCACCTATCCGCCCCTCCCACCTCACTGACCAATCCCCACCACTCCCTACTTCCACTCACCTATCACCATCTCACCTACCTTCCTCCCCTTTCCCCTCCCCATTTATTTCTGAGCTCCCTTTCCCCCTCCCCCTCCCCATTTATTTCTGAGCTCCCTTCCCCCTCCCCATTTCTGAAGAAGGAACGTCAACTTTCTTGCTGCCTGGCCTGCTGTTTTCCTCCAGCTCCACACTGTGTTATCGTAGAATAGTTAAATGGTTGTTTTTGACCAGAGTGGATGCAGTGGCCTTGAGAGGTCTTTTTCTGTGTTGTAGATCTCTATGACTGCAATTACAAAGAAGTGAAAGATTTCTGAGCTGAGTTATAGAATTAGTCATACATCATGGAAACAGACCCTTCGGCCCAACTAGTCCATGCCTACCATGTTCCCAAACTAGTCTAGTCCTACTTGCCTGCATTTGGTGCGTATCCCTCCCATCCTTTCCTATTCACGTCCACATGTCTTTTAAATGTTGTAACTGCATCCACCACTCCCGTTGTCAGTTCTTTCAACACACGAACCATTGTATGTAAAAAAAAAAAAGTTGCCCCTCGTGTCCTTTTTTAAAACTTTCCCTTCTCACCTTAAAAATATGCACCATAGTTTTGAATTCCTGCACCCTAGGGAAAAGACACTTGCTATTCACCTTGTCTGTGCCACTCATGATTTTATAAACCTCTAAGGTGACCTCTTCACCACCTATGCTCCAGTGAATAAAGATCCCAGCCTATATAGCCTCTCCTTATAAATCAAGCCCTCTATTCCCAGCAACATCCTGGTAAATCTTTGTTGAAACCTTTCCAATTCAATGATATCCTTCCTATAGCAGGGCAACCAGAACTACCTCGCCACGTCCTGTACAACTTCAACATGACATCCCAACTCCAATATTCAAAGATCTGAGCAATGAAGGCAAGCATGCCAAATACCTTCTGAACCACCCAGTCAATCTGTGATGCAAATTTCAAAGAATTTATGGACCTGAACCTCTAGGTCTGTCTGTTCTACAACACTATCAAGTGCTCTACTGTTAATTGTGTAAATCCTGCCCTTGTCTGTTATACCAAAATGCAGTACCTTGCATTTATCCAAATTAAACTCCATCTGCCACTCCTCACCCAC